TGCAAGCTAGTTGCCACACTGTGAGGAATCCCAACCAGTCCTGCAGATAACCCAGTATGGAAAGGCCACAGAAGAGAGTAATGGGAACTAGCCAGGAGCTGGCATCTATGATGCTTGGCCTATGTCACCATGAGGATCTAGAGGTCAGGGAGCTTGAATGGCCCTTGGTACCTGGTCTGGATTCCTAACCCACAGACTGTGCACTACTTGTCGAGGTCTGTGGATGTCACTAAGTCCTAGAATGATCTGTCATACAGCCACAATGACCGACATGTTTGTGGGGCTTTCAGTCATTTCCACATGGGTCAGTGAAGAGAGAACCCTGCCAAATGCCCTCTGGACTTCCCAGCAATGAAGGGCCAAGCCCAGGGCTAGCGACTTCAAGCAGGGAGGCACAGCCCAGCTCTGTGCCCTCTGGAGGGCCAGGTGCAGAGAGCCCAGAATACTGGCAGGCTCTTGGGAAAATTACCCATTTGCAGCCAACCCACAATTTAACATTAATTTTCAGAAATTCTCTAAAGATGGTATAAGTCAATCAGCTACTAGTACACTCTGGGAAGGGGCTTCTTTCCCCCTAGACAGGTAAGGGAGCCCAGGGGCTCCTGAACCCTGGCACCCCACCCTCCCCAGACAGGCCCACGGCCCTACAGGGAGGGGTTTCCTTCTCAGCACCAGCTGCTCAGGCCCCGCCCTTCCCCACTTCTTACCTCACCCATTGCCCACTGTCATGTCCCCTCCCTGAGGTCCCTCAAGGGTGCTGCCACATGGACGCCCCCCTCAGGGCCTTTGCACTACTACTGTCTACCTGCGTGCACCCTGCCCCTGCCCCCTTTCCCTCCACTGCATTCAGCACCTGCACCAGGGCTTTATTTGCGGTCTTAGTCTTGTGCCTAGTGCACAGGAGACTCCGAGCACTAACTAGCTTGTGGTGTGGGAGAGAGGAGAGAAGGCAGAAAGGGCGTGGCTCTGTGGGAGCAGAGAATAGCAGTCTAGGGAGGGCTGGGGGGAGAACTAGGTGCCTCAGTGTCCCTATCCAGTCTCAGTGTGAGGACATGGCGCACATGTGGTGAGTACCAGGGTGTCCCAATGATGCTGGGGAGCAAACCCTCTCCCCCACCACCACACCTGCTGGGTATGGGCCTTTCTAGAACATTCCACACACTGGGCCTGGGGAAGGCGGCTGTGTCCCAGCAGACATTTATAGGTTCTCATTTCTCTTTGATACAGGAAACCTCATACCCTGTTTCTCCAGAGATAGAGTGGATCATCACGTTCCTGGCTGCAAGCAACCAAATTAATTTCTAACTAATTTTGACACTAAGATCCAACAGTGCTGCATGGAAAATTCAGGACAAAAGCTGTTGAAGATGAGCAGTAATTGGGGGTTTGCTGGAGATAAATATTGGCAAAATTAAACCACTTTCAAGTATGGTCTATCAACCAGGGCAGATGAGATCACCTCACATAGCTGAGGGATGCTACTGGGTAAGGTGGGAACACGAGCTGGGGCCCAGCCCTGGCTCTTTGGGTGTGAGGCCCCAATCACAGACATGGGCAGGCCATATGGACTGCACACAGACACATGGCACATCCATGAGTGAGCACCCAGGTGTTCTGAGAAGACAGAAAGGCACACATGGCATACACATGAAGGGGGGCATGCCTGCAGCAAACACAGACACAGATACACAGGACACAGAGAGAGACACACACAGACACACACAGAGAAACCCATGACCCCTATAGCTGAGGCATGCACAGCTCCACACAGCTGTTTCAGGCCCTCACCTAGGCCCCACCCTGCTCTTGGGCACAGGTCACCTTGGCCAGTTCCTGCTTCCCAGCCTGGGATGGTGTAGCCTCAACCTGGCCTCCAGCCTGGGGCTCCTGAGGATGACCACCTCTGAGAAGGCTGCTGTCTGCCCAGAGGCTGGGCTCCTACCTGCAACATACCAGTGCTGGGACAGCCTGAGGGCCACGAGGGCAAGGCTGACCAGGAGCGCATCTACCTCCAGCAGGCCCTGGGTGCCCTCTGGCACATACATCTGCCCATACTGGGGCATAGGGCACACATGAAGGACCATCTGCCCCCTGGGCCCCTGCTGCCTGGAGGGAGCTGCACAGTTGTGCAGCAGCCCCCGCCCCTGCCACCATCTGTCGCTTCTGTGCAGTGGCTGTGGGGGGTTAAGCTTTGAGCAGCTGGCAAGTTAATTACAGGTTTTCCCAGAAAACATTTGGAGCAGTGTCTTGGGGAGAACCTGAATGAAGAAAGAAGGGGTTTTGGAGACAGAAGGGCAGGGACAGACAGGGGCAGGCCCAAAGCCCCCTGGGGGTCTTAGGTCCAGTGGGGAGAATATGGGATGTCCCTGGGTCCAGCCACTTGGGCCCCTCATGGATATACGCACACCTCACCAGCAATGGGTAAAGCCCACCCTGAGGTGCCCAGGACCCAACTTCTCCCTGCCCGACACCCTTAAGTGTCACATATATCCACAGAGGCCAGGTGCACCACTCCTGCCATAGAACACTCCAGGGGCCCTCAAATCCAGGTGTGGTGATGGGTTCAGGTCACCATTCCCTCTGTGCAGGGCCACCCCCCCCCTCAACAACCGCTGGTGTTCCCCTGGCTGGTGTCCCTATGGTGCTACCCTGTTCCCATATTGATATACAATATAACACCCAAGACACCATGTGGAGGGGCCTGCAAAAAAGACCAGGGCTGCCAGTGGCAGTCACCATGTACATGATGGGCACCTGTAGCCACCCTACGAGGGGCTGTGGCCCAGCACACAGAGGAGAGCAGAGCTGCCCAACCCCACTCTACAGGGGCTGTGACCTACTGCCCAGAGGAGCACCCTCAGGTAGACACCCCAGGCCAAAGACTCAAGAATAATGTGACCAAACCAAGGCTAGAGGAAGAAGGCAGAGCCCAAGGTCTCATGGCTGAGCCTGGGGCTGAAACAGATCCTCAGATGGGGCAAAGTGGGGGTCTCAGGGCTGAGTCTGGGGCTGAAATGGACCCTCAGAGGGGCATGGGGGTATCCTCAGGGCTAAGCCCACGGCTGAAACAAACCCTCAGATGGGGCATGGAGAGATCTCAGGGTTAAGCCCTGGGCTAAAATGGAGCCTCAGACAGGGCACAGGGTTGCCTCAAGGCTTAGCCTAGGGATGAACAGACCCTCAGACAGGGCATGGGGGGGGTGTCTCAGGGCTGAGCCCAAGGTTGAAATGGACCCTCCGAGGCACCAGGTGGGAGGAGGGTCTCAGGGTTAAGCTCAGGGCTAAAAGTGACAGTCAAAGGAGATGGGGGATGCTTTCAGGGCTTAGCCCTGGGCTGAAACAGACCCTCAGATGGGGGAAGTGGGGTCTCAAGGCTGCGCCTAGGGCTGAAATAGACACTCAGATGGGCAATGAGGGGGTTCTCAGGGCTAAGCCTGGGCCAGAAATGAACTCTCATTCAAATGGGGCATAGGGAGATCTCAGGCCTCAGCCCTGGGCTGAAACAGACCCTTCCAATGGGGATGGGGGTGTCTCAGGGCTGAATCTGGGGCTGAAACAGATGGTCAGATGTGGTGGGGGTGTCTCAGGGCTAAGCCTGGGGCTGGAACACACCCTCAGATGGAGCATGGGGTCAGGTATCTCAGGGCTGAGCCTGGGGCTAAAACAGATGGGTCATTGAGGGGTGTCTCAGGACTAAGCTTGGGACTGAAACAGGGCCTCAGATGGGTTGGGAGGGGTTGACTCAGGGTTGAGTCTGGGGCTAAAACAGACTCTCAGATGAGGCATGGGGGAGTGTCTAAGGACTGAGCCTGGGACTGAAAGAAACCTTCAGATGGGGCATTAGGCAGGATGTGGCCTGGAGATGAAAGGCTCAGCCAAGCCCTTGCACCTGGACCCAGGTCCATGGCTGACTCCTGCCCCAGACTCTCCAAGGGCCTGGGGGTCATGGAGTCCACTCATAGCCTAAGCCCGCTTGCCATACCCCAGCTCAAAACCTGGCTCCTTCTTATGGACCAATAGAAGCCATAGAATGGAGCCATAGGGTATCTGTCCCCTAGGGCTGCACTCTTCCCTTGGCTGGGCCTACCAGGTCATCAATGGGTTAATCACACACCCTATACTTAAAATGCTACTGTGACCCTACCAGATTGCTGCTCCTAGCAGTGCATCAGGGACTGCAGAAATGAGGAGGGTGGAGCCCACCCCCCCTCCACTGAGCCAGGGCAGCCGTAAATCTGCAGAAATGGCTTTTATGGTGCTCTGGGTTTTATGATGTCATTAATGTTCTTCTTGATCCTTGAGGGGAATGAAATGAAGTCACGATGGGCAGGGTTGCTTTAAGGGGAGGGATGAGGGGTGCCAGGCAGACATGGCTCCTACTCAAGTAGGCAAGAGCAGATACCTGGGCCCCACAGCCCCGTGGCTGTCCCTGCAGTTACCCCAGCCAGTACAGGTGTCAGACATAACATAGCCCTGACCTGTGACCCCCCTAGGTTGTGGGGTGCATGGCTGTGTCATTTGCTCCCATGGGGACAAACAGACATGCTGGGAAATACGCAGCTTACTCTCTACCAGCACAAACCCACTAGGCAGGCCATGTGTGGCTCTCCCTCCTGGCGTCCGCTATGCAGGGCTGTGGTGGCTCTCAGGGCACCAGGCCCAGGGAAGCTTGGGGTGAGGGCCCACTCAGACCCCAAGCAACAGTCTGGCCTCTATCCCTGGTGCCCCTGGCTGTAGCTCTGGTGTGTTGGTGGCTGCAGACCACTTTGAGGCTCCTGCTCCAGGCTCCCCACCCCCGGCAGCATGTCAGCCTACAGACTCCACAGGCCCTGAGCAGGAGGCTCTTCTAGGACCTTGCCAGGCCATAGCACATCTACTTCGCCCACCCCACAGTTGTTGGGACCACAACCTGGTAGGGGCTCAGGAGGGGGAACAGGGTGTAGGGAGGCCTTCTGGGGGGAGCCTCTGGGCAAATGAGGTGAGGGGCCCAGGGGACTTACAGAGTAGCCTCTCCCCGAGACCGCCTGCGCTGAGCTCTGCAGGAAGGAAGGAAGCACAGTCAGTGACAAGTGGCCCAAGACACCCTCTTGCCAAACCTACCTGCCCTCTCCCAGGACCCTAGCTCCAAGTATAAGGCTGTTGGACACCCCTCCCTAGCAGGGCCTCCACAGAGGAAGCCTTGGAGACAAATTAGAGTTGTGTCCAGGTCTCTGGACCCTGTGGCCTGTCCCAAGGCAGCCTGGCAGCTCTGGGGTGTGGGTTCAGGAAAGTTTAACCCAGGCCACTTCCACAGGAGGGAAGGCCCAGTCAGAGAGGGATCCTCAAAGTGAGCTAGAAGGCTGTGCTGTGCAGCCTGGTGGTCATGAGTGGGGGGCCTGCCTCCCTCCACACCCACTTCCTCTGGGGAGTCACCACAGGGGGCCAGATAGGCCAGGGGCCTCAGGCATCAGGGTGGTGAAGACCCCAATCACCCTTGATGGGACCCCTCTGGCTTAAGTGGGCATTTGCGGCCCATTGGGACAGAGGCCATGGGTCTTACCTGCTGCATATACAGACTGCTGGGGCCCCCATAAGCTCCTCAGGGCTGGCACTGCCCACCAGGGCTGACCACTGGCTTTGACAGGAAGGGTACAGGAAAGGGGGCTCTTGGCACTGGGCAAGGGGTGGGTGTGGGACAGGACAGAGGAACAAGCCCAGCAAAGCGGGATGCAGCCTTCCCTATAACAATCCCTGCCCTCTGCAACTGATCAGAGACCCCCACCCCTTCCCCAGGCAGACCCTCCCCAGCCAGCTCCTGCTGGGTGGCCTCCCTCAAGAAAGCTTGGGAGACACCTGCTATGTAGCCTGTCAGCGGGGGGCACAACTGCCCAAAGTTCCACCTCAAGGCTGGCCCAGCTATGCTCAGATGCATCCTTACTCACCCGAGCAGCAATTAGAGGACAACTAATTAGAGCAGCCCTGTGCCCCAGACAGCTCCTGACCTATTTTCCCATCTTGTGACCAGAAGGCGGAGCTGGGCAGTAAAGACCCTCCTGCCTCCCCTAGGCCTCCATTTAAATAAATGAAAATGAGACATGCCTGGTGCAACTCAGTCCTACAGGAAACCTGCCTACCCCAGACCACGTCAGGGTTCGGAGGGACAACTGGCCTCTACCCTGGGCCATGGCCTATCTGCATCCACCTGGCCCTAGCCTGGGCTGCTCCTGAATCCCCCTGGAGTGAGGGAGACTCCAAGTGTGGGGCGTTGTGGCCATCCCAGGCCTGGGCTCCAAGGACCCCCATGTGACTCCATTGATGCTCTCCCCAGGGACTTGAAGCCCAAGTACCCTCCTGGGGACCCAGGTCAGTCTGTACCTCTCCTAGCTCAGAGATGTCAGGCCCTGGACTGGATGCATGGGACTTAAGCGCCCAGTGGACTCCCCATTGGGCCCAGATCTGCTCAAGGAGGGAGCAGCACCTTCACTGACTTCCTTTGATGAGGCTGGTCTGCCACACCCTGCCCTCCTCCTCTTCCTTGTGCCTGCCTGTGTCCATCCTGCCCTCCCCAGCCCTATTCCACAGTTCAGTGTAGCCTGGATGGCAAGTTTCATATTTCAGTCAGCTCCTGGTGGCTTCTTAATTGTCTTTCCTCCATTAAATCCTTCCTAACAGGAAAGGTCTAATTAGCAAAAAAATCCTGCTTTAAGGAAGGCAAACTGCTAATTGCTAGCACAAAGCCTTCATGGGAATTCCCAGGGCTGCCATCTGATGGTTTCCTGGATACCCTCTGCAGGTCATGCCCTGGATGACCAGCCCTAGGTGGTGGGTACTCACGTCACTGAGCTGGTCCCGAGAGCTGCTCCGCTGGGAGCTGGTGGCTTCAAGGATGCTGTCATCATCACTGTCCCGGTCACCTCCTTTGGACACGGTGACCTTCATCTGGGACAGGGAGAGACACTGTCTCAGGCAAACCCACACCTGACTCCATCTGTAGCATCCCCCCAGCTACATGCCCCACTCCCCACCCCTAGGGCTGCTTGGAAGCACTCTGGGATGGGATGTGATATGCTACTGCTGACAGAGTCCTCAGCTGTGTCTGGAGTGTGGGCAGTCACGGACAGCTCTGCAGAGCCAGGGAGCCACCCCATGTTGACAGCTCACACACTGGTAACAGACACTCACTTCAGGTGTGAAATAGATGCCCAGAGAGCAACGGCGCAGTGACATTAGAGTCGCTCTTAGCTCTGCCCTCATTTCCTCAAACTGCTGACTTTAAAGACACCCAGGTAGAATTCAGGGCCCATGGCGGCAGGGCCTTGCCATCCACACCCTGGCCCTCCTCCTGGCCTCATGGCTGGGCCACACCTTACTATGCAGAGCTGATCTTGAGGCTACCACCAAGACTGAGCCCACACTACTCAGTCACTCCCTGCTGCATGACCGCAGGCCACCGCCCAGCTGCTTTGAGCTTCAGTTTCTCATCTGCTGAGCGTAGGTGCTACTCTGCTACAACTCCACCACCACCCTGTCATCAGCAGCCCTCGGGACTGCTGTGCGGCAGGGCTGGCCTCAGTGCTTGCTGGCCCAGTGGCCCTAAGTAGGAACTATTTTTGTTTCCATTTTAAAGATGAAAATACTGAGGCCCAGAGAAATTAAGTGACCTGGGCAGCAGGTGCTCAGGGGTGAAGGGCTCAGAAGGAACATTGTGTAGTGCTGAGCCTGGAGGCCACTGTCCTGACTTAATACTCCTGTGGGTTTGAAATGATTCCCTATCTCAGCATCCCCAAAGGGTTCTTAAAGGGCCAGCAGCCCCAGCACGGCTCACAAGGCCCACCAAGACCTACCAGGCTCTAGAGTGTAGTGCTAGGACCAAAAACCTGCAGAGGCCACGAGGAAGCAGGACCTACACTGTACTTCTTAGCTGACATGAACCCAGACAGGACATTGTGGAGAAAGGTGGAAGGGACATGAGATACCAGGCAGGGGTGGGGGGCAAAAACAGCAGCACTGAGAGCCCCCTCTACTCCCATCAGGGAGAACTACCACCCTATTTTGTAGATGGGGAAACTGAGGCACAGGGACTTGCCCCAGAGCACCTGTAGGTGATGAGGACCTTGGGTAGCTGGGAGGACACCTTCCATGCAGCAAGGGTAGGTGGGGCCCGAGGGGACTTTCTGCCTAGCTGTGCTCAGAGCCAACTACTTCCTGGGGTAGGGGCAAGCCCAGCCCATACCATAGTTGGTAGGACTGAGGGAGTGGGGAGCCCCAGTGTGGAGCTCCTGTCAACTCCTGCAGTGTAAACACTCACCACGGCTGATATATGCTGCTGACAGTGTAACAGCTGCCACTCCTGCAAGCTGGCTCTCCATTGAGCACAGCATGTGGGCCGGCAGGTGGGTGGGACTGGCCAGAACTGGGTATAGTGCTGAGAACTCCAGCGTGGGGACCCCCACCCCTAGGCTCTCAGGCTCCCACTGCACATGTCAGGGTGCATACATCCCTTACAGACAAGAAACAGGCGATTCCACTGGAGGCTCTGACTTGTGGGGCCGTCGGGTGCAGGGCTGGCCCATCTAGGGCCCAGTGCACTCCTGGGCACAGGCTTTCTCAAGCCCCCCTAACCCACCACTTGCACACACAGGGGCAGACACAGGCCCACAGACACATGCACACTCACCACCCAGGCTTACATGACATACACTGACCACCTTGCCCCATGGCCTCCAAACGGCTTCTTCTTCCAGCACAGTAGACGCATAAAGCCCACGTGAGTCACTCATGGCCCCCCAACCCACCCCGCTGCCCAGACACCTACCATGACTGCCAGGTGCACACAACTTTGCCCAGGTCCCTACCCCAAAGTGAGTTACACACAAGTCCCCCCAATACACTCCAGAGCCCTCTGTGTAGGCTAAGCTGAGGCTCCCTCAGAATGTGAAAGCTGTCCTGGAAAGTGCATACAGGACCACAGGAAGGTGGTCCTGAAGTGACACTGTGTGTGACTTGAGCAGCTGTACATGGTGGTCCTGTGGGTCTCATACCCTGTCAGCCAGTTCCACACTCAGGCAAGGGCCATCCTATAGGCATACATGGGCTCAGACTGTGGCCATGCTCACCTGACCTCTTACCTGCCCGCCTCCCTCAGACCTGCCAGGCCCATGTTGGTCCCCCCCACACCACCCATGTAGGGCTGGGCCATATCCTGAAAGGAAACAAAGACTCCAGATATAGAAGCTAAGAACAGGCTCTGGGGAGCCAACCTGCTGCCAAGTCCATGGAAGCACATACACCATCCCTCCCTGGACTGCAGCCTGAACTCCCCACCTAGCAGGACACTGGCTCCTGGTCCTGGTGCCAAGCAGTCACAGGAATCATCTGGCACTTCTGTGCTTCCCAGGCCACTCTCCTGCCCACCCCAGTCAAAGCTCAGCCACTTAGTCTGCAGCAAGAGGCACCCTGGCCAGGGGCAGTTGATACTAGCTGGGATCCAGTGACCACTTTGCAGAAAGGTGGGACTTGGGCAGAGGTAAAGGTGCTGATGGGGTGGAGCTATGTCCATCTATGAGATGCTCTGCTTCCCATCTCCCAGCACCTGGGTTCTGGAGTTTTCTGGGAGCTCCCAAAGCTATCCATTAATCTGGCACAGCCAAGTGCAGGCTGACACCCATCCTTGGCCAGCCCTTGCTCCCTTTGCTGGACAATTTCTCACACGCCCCTGAAGCTCTCATGATGCAGTGCTCTAAGCCAAGTACCAGGCATCCTGACACTCTTCTCCTCCCCTCTGGGGTGCCTGGGAGCCCCACATGTCCCCAGGCCTGGCCAGGTCCCTAGACTCTGACCACTGGCCCCTCAAAATTAGCCAGGGCACAGCCTGACCCCAGGTCCCCTCTTTCCCAAACATGCCCCCTGAAGTGAATGGGCCTGCCTATCTTCTAGGAGCTGGGCCCTAGTGTGCCCTGGTTGGGGAGGGCAGACACTGCACCCAGGTGGCCAAGACCCCTCCCACCTTCCTCCCAGCAGGGGCAGCAGTGACAGTGTACTGCACACCTGTTTGGTTCCTGTTGTATCCACCCTCCACACACCCTGCTGAGCCTGGCCCAGAGCAGGTGAACCTGTACTGAGCCAGCTGGGGAAGGAAAGCGAAAGGGGGACCTAGTTTTGGCCAAGCTGGGGGAAGCCTCCATCTGCAAAGGGGTGGGGAAGCCCCCAGTTGAGGATCACAGAAGCAAGACCAGCCAGGGAGAAGGAGGCTTCCTGGGAGACCAGAGGCAGGACAGTAGGCTGTGCACGACTGGAGGGGGGCACCGCAGCAGGGCTGCTGCACAGTTGCAGGCACTGTCCTACACGTGCTCAACTGCAGCCCTAAGATGTGGAGAGCCAATGCTGCTAGGTGCAGGCATAGCCCGGAGAAGTGAGGTGGATGGCGGCCCCTCTTGCCTTGCTGGTAGAGACTGGAGCTGCAGACCAGCTAAACCAGACGCACCCCACATACGTAGAGAGGACAGTGTTCCGAGTGGCTCCTGCTGGTCAAGTGTAGAACTGAGACCCAGTTGTACAAGACATGACACAACTGTGGGGAGGAAAATGCTCAGGGCCAATGGTGGCCCTGCTGGTGGAGACTGAAGTCATGGCTCAGCTGTACAAGGCACACTACACAGCATGTGGGGAGGACAGTCATCAGAGCCAAGTGGCCCCTGCTTGTGAAGACTGGTGGCAACAGCCCAGCTGTACTAGAAATTACTGTGGGAAGAACAGTGCTCAGAGCTGAGGGTGACCCCTGCTGGTGGAGTGTGGCACTGGGCCCAGGTCTATTAGACATTTTACACAGCTGGTGGAAGGGTAGTGCTCAGTTTCCAGTCCCAGGCTCCCTGAGAGACCCCAGTGTTAGCAAAGCATCTCCACTCTCTTCTGGGATAACATTTACTCAGTTTAGCATGGGCTTTGCTTCTTCCAGAAACTCTTCCTGATGTTCTATCCACTTTCCATGCCAATTAGGCTCTTGTAGTCCCAAGTGTCCCTCCAAAAGTGAAGTGAGATTGCTTGGACTGTGAGTGCCCCAGTAGGCAAGGGCTGTCTTTTATTCTTGTCTACTTGGCAGAGATAGGCATACTGAAGAAGGCTCAGGCAGTGTTTTGGAAAGACCAAGTGTCCCTAAGGTCATCACAGTGTCAAGGGAGCATGACACTCCCCTCTGAGTGCTGAACATCCCTTTTAGCTGCTTGACATTCTTCTTTTGGGATTCAGACAAATGGATGGATGGACAGATGGGTAGGTGGGTGGATGGATGATGGATTGCTAGATAGGTGGGTGTATGAATAGATGGGTGGGTGGATGGATGAATGGATAAATGAACGGGTGGGTGGAGGGACAGGTACATGAATAAGCAGAGGATGGGTGTGAACAGATGGGTAGAGGAGTGAATAGATAAGTCAATAAGTGAATAAATGGGTAGATGGAGCACAGATGAATAGGAAAAGGGATGGAAATGCACAACAGATGATATAAGGGATGCTGGCTGAGTTGAGGCCACTACCTTAAGAGATTCATTGCCAGCAGGATCCTGGGGATACAAGCTGTGTGGGGTGAGTGCTCACAATCTGTGTGTCCACAAGCCCCAAGTCCCATTTGCTGGAGGAGGGGCAGGAGCAGCAACTGTGTCCAGAATCTAACCAGAGTGGACCCCAGGTCTGGAGCTGGACCTCTTGGTCCAGCTGGGTTCCATCAATTCTGCCTAGACCACTTATTTTTGCTCAGTTTGCTCCATCCACCTCATAGACTAAGGAACTAAGTTAGGGCACCACTTCCCATCCGAGCAACCACAGCAGCCTCCAACAGGTAGTGTCACCACCTCCATGGCTGTCCCGGTGTCCCCATGAGTTTTTTTTTTTTTTTTGAGACAGAGCCTCACTATGTTGCTCTTGGTAGAGTGCCATGGTGTC